GTCAAGGTGAAAACCCGCAAAGGGTATCTTGTAACCAAAGGAAGGATTTGAGTTGAAAACCTGAAAAGGCGGCTCAAATACAGGTTGATATTAGGCATCTGGCAATTGAACTCTCTTAAGATTTTGATGTTTTGGAAGAAGATTCACATCTACAAGCATTTTGACAACGATTGAGATCTTCCAGACAAAGGCTTACATCATTACTCTAAGTTGTGTCAACTTGATTAATTTAGAAATACTTATGCTCATAATTTGTTGAGACATTTGAATTTTTATCATTATTATGTTTGCCAGAACTTTGAATACAATCTTATCTATTTCAAGTTCAATTTATTTGAGATTCAATTTATTTTTGGAAATTCAATTTATTCTTTTCTATTGAATTAACATAATTTTGAAATAAATTAAAGATTTCTGAATATCACTTTATATTAATACTTTTAAATACATGGAATACAAAATAGGCAAATTATCACTAGCTTAAAGTCATGAACATCAAGATTGTTACAAGTGGTGCTACCGACAACAAGGTCGAATCTGTCAAATCTACTCATCAATTGTTCCAACCGATCACCATTCAGTTCTTGCACATCTGTTTGAAAAAATATACTAAGACAATAAAAGTCAACCTTTGAAGCATTGATTCCAACAAAAAGAAACAAGACATTGATATCACTGGGAAACATGTTTCTATACAGATCCTTGTATATGGTTTTTAAGGAAACCTAGAAGCATTTCCACCTCATCAGGTTCAAGTGGAGTAACTTCATTCCTTCCAACCTATACTAGATTCCATTTTCAGTACTCATCAAGAACATACTTTTGGACACTCGAAGAATAGCATCTTCTGGAAGTGTTCTTTGAGTTATCTGATCTGGTTGGACAGAACATAGCATCTTCTGGAAGTGTTCTTTGAGTTATCTAATCTGGTTGGACAGAACATAGCATCTTCTGGAAGTGTTCTTTGAGTTATCTGATCTGATTGGACAGAACATAGCATCTTCTGGAAGTGTTCTTTGAGTTATCTGATCTGGTTGGACAGAACATAGCATCTTCTGGAAGTGTTCTTTGAGTTATCTGATCTGGTTGGACAGAACATAGCATCTTCTGGAAGTGTTCTTTGAGTTATCTGATCTGGTTGGACAGAACATAGCATCTTCTGGAAGTGTTCTTTGAGTTATCTGATCTGTTTGAACAGAACATAGCATCTTCTGGAAGTGTTCTTTGAGTTATCTGATCTGGTTTGGCAGAACCAATCATTGAAATTAGAAGATGAATTTGCCAATAGCATCTTCTGGAAGTGTTCTTTGAGTTATCTGATCTGATTAGACAGAATAGCATCTTCTGGAAGTGTTCTTTGAGTTATCTGATCTGATTAGACAGAATAGCATCTTCTGGAAGTGTTCTTTGAGTTATCTGATATGGTTTGGTAAGAACTACAGAACCAATCATTAGAATTAAAAGATGAACTACATGATCGTCTTCATTAAGAAGTTTCTTTTTAAGCTTCTTTTGCTTATTCCTTTCCCAAAAATCATAGCACGAGTTTCGCCTTTGCTTGTAACTGGGATTATCACATGATGGCTTCCCACCTTTTTCCGGAAGAAAGCTATTTGAAGTTTCAACTTCTGAGAATCACATTTTTGTCAAGAATAACATTTTATCAGAATCAGAATTCAGGATTTCTCGGTATTAGAAGAACTATTGATATCTGTGAAATCATCCTGAAAGGTTACTTCATAATCAGATGAGTTGTTATCAGAATCAACATGTTGTCTGAATGCAAGCTTTTCAAAAGCCTATACTATTGAGTTTTATTCTCAAGAGGTTTTGTGATATTATATCTACATCTACATTTGTCAAAGATGATAGATTCTCTGAGTCTAAGAAGAAAGATCTATTGGGTTTTTACAATTGAAGGAATACTCAATTCACCAATCTGAAATCAAACAACTAACATTCATGCATATTTAGACATTTGCAAAATAGATGCATTTTCATTCTTTTTTATTCTTGTTGAAATTTTAACAGGAATTTCAAAGATTTTAGCAAAGATGAATCCATCATTTGGTGGATCATTTTTTCCAGAGAAAGTTCATAATGAGAAGAACTCGTCATCTGAAGAAGGAAGAAGAAGTTCATAATGAGAAGAACTTGTTCAACCTTTTGCTTGAATTCATCGCCAGATGGATCATCATTTCCAGAGAAAGAGTTCATAATGAGAAGAACTCGTCATCTGAAGAAGGAAGAAGAAGTTCATAATGAGAAGAACTTGTTCAACCTTTTGCTTGAATTCATCACTTGATGGATCAACATTTCCAGAGAAAGAGTTCATAATGAGAAGAACTCGTCATCTGAAGAAGGAAGAAGAAGTTCATAATGAGAAGAACTTGTTCAACCTTTTGCTTGAATTCATCGCCAGATGGATCATCATTTCCAGAGAAAGAGTTCATAATGAGAAGAACTAGTCATCTGAAGAAGGAAGAAGAAGTTCATAATGAGAAGAACTTGTTCAATCTTTTGCTTGAATTCATCATTTGATGGAACATCATCCCCAGCAGAAAGTTATAATGAGAAGAAACTCATCTGAAGAAAAAGAAGAATTTATTCAATATCTTCATTACAATCAAGTGAAGCCAAATGGATAAAAAATTTTATTATCTTTTCATCTTTGCCCTATTCTTGTTAACACAATAATGAGCAAAGAGGGGCAGCTGAAGATATTAATTTTTTATCCATATCATTATTAATATTATTATTATTAGTATTATTATTATTATTAGCATTATTATTTATTATTATTATTATTATTATTATTATTATTATTAGTATTTATTATTATTATTAATAAATAATTACAACTGGACCGGCCCAGTTACAAGCCAACTAGAACCGGTCCAGCCAACCAGAAACCCTAAACAATTAGTAAGGTTTCAGCTAGGGTTTTTAAACCCTAGCCACACCCAGCCGCCTCTGATGCTTCCAGATCCCAGCCGCCGCCTCACTGCCAAGTGGTCCAATGGCCACTGCCGACGCCTCCGCCGCTGCCACGTCCCGAATGAAGGCTCCAGAAGATCAACGCCGGCCGTCCACGCCAAGGCTACGGGGTGAGTCACCACTGGTAGTCCGGTGACTCACCAAAGCCCTCTTCGGACCGGTCCGATGACCGCACCGGTGGTGGCTATAAAAGCCACCACCCACCTGCAAGACAAAAAAGAGGGACAGAACGAGACACAGAAACAAAAAAAAAAAAAAAAAAAAGAAGAGAGAAATAGAACCGAAAAAAAACAGAGAAAACAACAGCTACCAACGATCCCAGTCCACCACAACAGAGCAAAAACAAAAGGAAAAAGGAAGAAAAGAAACTTACCGAGGGAACCGTTGATCATCAGAGCCTTTTTGGAGCCATCGGAAAGTCAAAGGTCGAAGGTATAAACTTTAGATCTACGCATTTCAGTAGTATTTTAGGCTAAAAAACCTACGGATCTAGCTTTAGGGAAAACCAGGCTTTAATTTAGGGTGGGATTTATAATTTCCGGCCACCGGATATGGTGGCCGGCGGTGGTTTTGACGGTGGCCCACGGTGGCCGACCGATAACCAGCTTCCCTCCGATGAGGGAAGCTAGAGAAGGAAAGAGAGAGCTTCTTCTCTCGTTTTTGAGAGAAGAAGAAGAAGAAAGAAATGAGCTGCTGGCCCTTCGGGCCAGCTATGAATGGGCTTAAATAGCCCTCCCCAAACGACGCCGTTTTGGGGAGGGATCTGTCCGTAATTAATAAAAAGATTAACCTCTTCCGTCATCCCTTTAGTTTGTAATCTTTACCTTTTAGTCACTGAATCAAATTTTTGATTCTTTTAATTTGGTCTCTACATTTTATTTAATTATATTTTAGCCATTAACCGTATTAATAATATATTTAAGATAAATTTCATATTTAGTCCTTTAATTTTGATAAATAATATTTTAATCCCGAGTATATATTTTTAATTTATTTTAATATGATATTCGAATTTTATATAGTTTTAAATTAGTCACTAAATTAATAAAATACGAAAATAACATGTTTAAACCCTATAATTTTGATTAATTATGAATTAGGTTTTTTTTTTATTTTAATTTTTACTATAATTTAATCACTAATTTTAAATATTTTCATTTATTTTACCACTTTTAAAAATATTGTTCTAATTGTATTTTTATTGTTTTAATTGTTTATATATTTAAATAATTTTACTATTATTATATAGTCATAAATATATATAATGAATAATAAATCATATTTTTTTAATATATTATTTTAATATTTTTTATATATATCGAAGAAAAGGACAGTCTTAATACAACTGGATGTCCTATTCTGATATTTTAAAATTAAACAATATTATTTAAATTAATATTTATCAATATCAAAGAAAAGAACTGTCTTAAGGCACCTAGAAGTTCTTTTCGGATAGATTTTAATATAATTTTTGGAAATAATAGGATTAAAAATTAAATATATTTTTGAATTTTTAAATTTTAATAATAGAGACAATTTATAATTAAAAAGTACCAATTTTGGGCGTTGTAGGGGTGCTAATCCTTCCCTAAACGTAACCGACCACGAACCCTTTTTATTATTAAAAAGAACAAATTTTTGGTTATAAAACGCAGATCAGTTCATCTTTTAAATATGGTTTTCTTAAAAACTATTTTTTTTAAAAGAAAATTTTTAGGTATTCGACCTACCTGATCCAAAAGGTCGATGGCGACTCACAAATTATTTTCAAAATTTTTATTAACATTAATTTCCCCGCCAAAAATTAATATTTCGTGCCCGGACGAAAACCGGTTACGACATCTACATTTTAGAAACAATAAGATTTTTATCAGTTTGTGATGATTTCAAAATAATTTATATTTATAATTTTTTAATTATTTGGCAATATATACGGCATACATAATTGTTTAAACTAAAACAGCAATAATATTTTTTACCATTGATGTCAAAACAACTAGATTTAAAAATAAAATAAAATAACAAGTCCTATCATGAAGTGTGTAACATCCACCACTACAATACTACAATTAATTACTTACACCAACACAAAAAAGTGCTACAGAAGCTTAAAATAAAAGTGACGAAATCACACACTACGTTTAAAATATTACAAACAATTGAGACAACTTAAAAATTGCTTTGCCTCCAACCTCCATACTCTTCTTCTTCTTCTTCTTCATTTTCCTTAACCTGAAATACCATCCAACAAAAAAACAATCTCATATTATAATGATCTCGCAAATTTAAAATAAAATTATAAATCGACCTAAATTGTGTTTATGTACCTTTGTGGTGAAAGTAACACCAACAGTAATATCTCCACGATAACTATTTTCAGCGTTAACCACACTATGTTTAGTAGGATGAATTTCAGCATTTCCTTTCTCTGCCCCAATTGCCAACAAATCCTTCACATATATTCTGCAAACAAGCCCAAAATTTTTCGAGTTAAAAATGATGCTCGATGAATCATTGACCTATATTTTCCGGACTCTTCATTTTTCTTGTAGTATTCGTATATGAATCTTACGTGGCCTGCCCAACGAAGTCGGAAGAGAAGGTGTCCTTATCCATGATTTTAAGAATGAGCTTGTAGTCACCGCCTGATCCTGGATACTCTACTCTGAATGTAAATTTTTCATTCCATGATGGACTAGACCCATCACCTGCACACACTTCAACCTTTTAGGTAATTTATAAAAATTATTTTGGTCCGATTCATCATTTTTCTTAAAGTAATATCTTTCTATGGATGTTAGGGCACGAGTACAAAGAAATAATTCTCCAAGAACCCTTCAAATGAACTTTAAAAAAATATGAATGTATTCATTTTCATGACTACGAAAGGGTGATTATCAAATATATTTATATTCAACACTTATTCGAATTTGGTCATTTATAAATGGATAGGCTCAAAATAAAAAAAAAAAGAGGGAAAAAGACTTTAATAACCTCTGGCCACGCTGCTCTTGCGCTCTTGACCTTTGTATTGAATTATGACATAGGGATCCATATCACCTACCAATCAAATACAAGAAACATAGGGAAAGAATATCTTTAGTTCAACTTTTCACACATTCAAATCACCAATCTCTAATCTTCCACCAATCAACAACGAGCATTTATACCGAGGGAAAATCTATACGGACTATATTGACGATAATTGGATCATCAGTGAGGATCTTACGAGATAATAGAGGGATAATTAATTTTTTTAATTTTTTAGATGTTTAATCAAAATATTGATGCATTTAATGAGAATTTTCTTTGATTTTTCAATGATGAAATTTCTTCTTTCAATTCTAACAAACAAGGAGGTGGAGAAGAAAGAAGCGAATTGTATGTCTTAATTCTATGTTGGTTAGATTGTGAATGTTATATATATTAGAGTGGCTTGAGGTCTCATGAGTTTTGAATTTAAAGTTTTATTAGTTTTAATGGTTTAAATAAAATCTAAATCGATTGAGTAGAGGGAAATAACGAGATGAATACATCGACATCTAAAATGGTCAAAAAAAAATACTAAAAATGATAATTGCTGAAATGATATGGGATAAAACAGTAAAATTTTATCTTCGAAAAAATAAGATAAAATCAAAAATGACATGAATGATGGATTTCATGTCAATAAAAAACACTCCACATTTAGCACACATAATTTTTACGTCACTATATCATTTATGATTAACACTTGGTGATTAAAATAAGAATAGATCTAAGATATAATAAAAATTTAAATTTTAATAACTAAAGTAGGGGTAAGAAAAAATTGAGTGATAAAATTTGTTAGTATCCTTTAAAACTTTTAGGAACTTGAGAGGTTTAATGAAAATATTTAATAACTTTGCGGTATTTAAATAAAAACATTTAAATTTTAAAAGGTTAAATTCAAGTTTCTCTAAACATTGGGGATGCCAAAGCTCTTCTGGACTTGTTACCACCCCCGCCTCTGCAGATCATGCTAACTTTCAACATATTTCTGGGTTCAAAGAAACCCATAGTTTAAAATTTGAGAAACATATATATTTTCATTCTAATTTCAAATCTATTCTGTATTATATGATTGTATGAATTAACTGAATGAGACTTGAATTTCAACGTTTCAGCAACAAAAAGAAGGTAAAATCCATATATATAGCTACCCAGAAACAGGTCCTCTTCATTTTTGATCAAGCAAAGAACATCAGCAACCCAAAATCATTGAATTTGGGCAAGAAAATGAACGAAACAAGAGCTTGAAAACAAAATCTGATAAATCAAAAAGAAGGAAAAAAATCAGATTCATAGATCGCATACCCAGAAAATCCGAATCCTCGAGGCCTTTAGCGCTAACCAATAACACTTCCATTATTCCAGCAGCCATCCTTGAATCCGATCCTTTCTTCTTTTTTCTCTCAGAGAGAAAATTGTTTGGACCCATCGGATTCTTTTGATTCTTTATAAAGAACAAATGAAAGGACTTGGCATGGTGACTTTGATAGGTTGGCAGGCGAAGACTGACCAGCTTTGGATTTTATAAAGGACTGGCTTAATATAAAGGGTAAAATACAGGTTTGGTCAATTTAATTTAATTTAATTTTATAAATATTTGGTCACTAGATTCAAAAAATAATTTTTTTAGTCATGTTTTTGTTTTAATAAAGATGTGATCACTGACTTCCGTTAGTTTGATGACGTGACAAATTAGTGAAAGGGTTTAATTTTTTTTACTTTAACACCTAAACTTTAGATAAAATATTAACTAGTGATCATTTTATAAATTCAAAGTAATTTAGTATTTTATAAATTAGAACTTTGTCCCTAAATTACTTAGAATTTGTAAATAATCTCTAATTAGTATTTTATCTAAAGTTCAGGGGTTAAAATAAAAGTTAATTCTATTTACTAACATGACACGTCATCAAACTAACAAAAATTAACATTTGAGTGACCACATCTCAATTAAAACAAAATAAAAGTAACTACGTATTATATATTTTTAACCCAATAATTATACGTTTATGAAACTGAAACAAAAAATGATCAACTTTATAGTTTACCCTAATATAAATTAACCGGATCAATATATTCATATTTAGACTTGTCAATTAAGCAGGTTGGATCAAGTGTACTCTTCTTCCTCCTCTTAGGTTCAGGGAAATTTTTTAGCGATTCCTTATCAATTATCCAGTTTTGTATGTTTTTGCCTTATAATTAAAATCATACAAAACTTATCCTTTCAAAGAAAAAAATTAAGCAGGTTGGATCAAGTTGAATTGGACAATTGTACTTTTCATTTTTCTTAATTTAAGATAATGTCATATTAGAGTTATATGTTAAACGTAATAGGAAAATTATCCTTCAACATTTTTGTATAAAGGATGATTTTATCTCTTTTTAAATATTTTAATCTTTAGTGTTCAATTTTTTTATCAAAATAGATTATGTTGGATGAAAAATTATTAATTAACTAAATATCAATACATGTTATTGACATGATATTTTCATATGTGTTAAGTTATTGATGTGTTATATATCATATCACTTAAAGTGATGATATAACAGGTATCACGTCATCTAATAAGATGATATGACATGTGTCACAATAATAATTAAACGCGTGTAAAAATATCACGTCAACAACATGTGTTAATCGTTAGACAACTAACAATTTTCATCCAACATAATTTGTTTTAATCAAAAATTTAAATGTTAGAAGGCTAAAATGTTTACAAAAATAATAAGGACTATGTGACCATTTGTATAAATGTTGGAAGATAATTTTATCATTGTACCTTATTTTTAAGGGTGAATTAAGCATTTCATACTTAAACTATCAGTTTTGGTCTATTGTAGTACCTAAACTTTTAATTTTTTTAAAAACCATACCTACCGTTTAATTTTTGTTTCGTTTTATTATATCGTCGTTAAATACTTAACGGGTGATCTGCATGTGGCACCTTTTTTATGGGTAAATTGCATCATTCATCACTCAGCTGTTTTCTTACTCCTATTTTGGTCACTAAAGTTTAAATTTTTTTAATTTAATTACTTAACTTTCAAGTTACTCCTAATTTAATCACTCTAACTTTAAATTTATTTTTTTATTTTTAGTTATATTAATAAAATAAAAATTGTCATGTCACAAAAAATATCAATAAAATAAATTATAGTGATTAAAATAGGAGCAATTTGAAAGTTAAGTAGTTAAATAGGAATTTTTTAAACTTTATTATCAAAATAGGAGTGAGAAGATAGTTGAGTAATGAATGATGTAATTTACCCATAAAAAATGCAGTTTCATTAAGTTTTTAACGGCGACATACTAAAATAAAACAAAAACTAATATTAAAATAAAATAAAAACTAAACGTTAGATATGATTTTGAATTTTTATTAAAGTTTAAGTAATAAAACGAATCAAGATTGATAGTTTACGTACTAAACACACAATTTACCTTATTTTTAAATTATGACTGTCTCATATATGATATATTAGAATCATTCCAAGTTTGAGGTTTAAAGGTTATCACATGTTTGAATAGTTCTAATCACTACTATGGATTAAAATTTAATTTCTTTTGAGTTTAAATTATTCGAGTATATTTAATTATTCAAGTTTAAACCAATTTAAATTTGAATTTAAGTTGTTGGATTTTGTGCTCAAACTCGATTTAATATAGTCTAATTTTAAGTCAAAATTAACGGATCTATTAAAAATCTATTAAAACTATTTAAACTTGTAAAGACTCCATCAGAAAACTCTTAAACCTTAAATCTAAAATGATTCGAATATGTGAAACAATCATAATTTGAATAAATTTTTTTGATTTAAACTGAAAAATGAATAATTTGTACTAATTACAAAAAGAAAAAGGATCAAATTAAACTTATTCAGTTTGTTTAATTCACAAGTCTAAATTTGAAATATACTAATCCAAATAATTTATATAAACAATTAAAATAATAATATCCAATTAGAAAGAAATTATATACTTTTTTAATGTCAAGTGGGTTGCCAACCTATCATACTTTCCATGACAACTTGATACATTTTTGTTCTCTATGAATAATTGGAAGAAACTTCAATTAAAAAATAATAATAATTGGAAGATTCAAAGGATCCCACGAGAGAAAGATCTAAGGATGACGGTTGAATTTTCAAATTTCAATATACTAGAGGGGCAAAAATTATAATTTGACATAGTAGGTCTAATTATGATTTCCACGTTAACATTTATTTGGTTTAATAACGAGATTGAGGTTTTCAGAATTTTGAAATCTCATATTTGATCTCTATTATGTATAAATTATCTATATGTTTTCTCTTCATATCTATTATGTATGATTGTTGTTTAAATCTATTATTTCATCATGTATGGTCGTTTTTAAACCAGCGTTGTTTAAATTATATGTGGACTTTTTATTAAACTTTCATGTCAATTTTAATTTTATTATGTTAAATTAGAATTGAATCAAGTTAATTGATATCTTAAAATTAAAATCGAATCAAGATCAAATATAAACTCGTAAAACTTAGGTTATGATAAAAAATGAATTCTTAAAATTTTAACCGAGACATGAACGATAAAATATTATTAAATTTTTTTCTCTTTCTTATTTTTTGTTTCGAATTAAGATTTAAATAAGTATAGAATATAAATATATATTTGATATTTATTTAAATAATTATATCTTCCAACTCATTATGAGATAACTGAAAGAGATATAGGTAAATAAAATATGTGTTAGGTAATTTGACTTAGATAATTAATTTTAATCAACCATTTAAATGTTTTTCTTCCAGACATAAAACAAATTAATGAATAAGAAAGGGACTATCGCATTCGATATCTGAAAATTTCTGGTGAAATAACACATGGGGATTACTTTAGTAAGACAGGTTAAATTTCATGCAGTTTTTTTCCGGGACGGAATTATTCGAAGGGAGGGGCGTTGATTCATGCACCAGAGTCCATAATACATGCTTCTTTGGACTAATGTTTCTACTCGAACCTATTAGAAGAACAAAGTCTGGAAGATTCAAAGCATATCTATTCGGTAAGTATAATGTGAATGAATCATTAAATGATTCTAATGTTTTTCCCTTTAATGTTTTAGATTCAAGGTCGAATCTTTTTGAAGAAAGGGAGGATGATACGTGCATCATAAGGCTCACATCAAAGGAAGAAGTAATAACTCTTCCAAATGATCCACTCGTCCAAGCATTAGAAAAGAAAATCAGAACAAAAGCAGATTTACGATGACTTTTTGAATGGGATCCTGATCTTATTTGGTTAATATTTCATCTGGAGATACGACCGTATGTCTCTTATCTTTCCAACGGTTCTTGAATCGCATCAATCCGATATCGGGAACTCAAGATATGGCCATTTTACTGAAGACGGTGCATGCAGAAAATCCTATACGGGATTAATACGGGATTTTATAAATATTATGAATTCTCAATATTTTTATTGATTATTTGTAATATAATTTAATATAGGATGATGTATTATCTTTTAGGATTAGATTTATTATTTTATTAGGAATTAAGGTTGGGTTAAAATATTATTTTTAGTTATTATTTTTTTATTAGGAATTAGAGTTAAGACATGTTTAGTTTATTATTATTTTATTCATTAGTTATTTAGGACTTTTAGAACTCAGCCCCTATATAAAGGAGGCTTCATTCAACTTTGTAATAAGGATTTCTTTGATTAATAATACAACGAGAGTTCGTTTTTGCAACTGTTGATTGCCTTGTGCCTTCGAAGCTTCTTCTCCTGGAGTTCTTTCAAGTTCTTGTGAGGGAGATTAATTTTCACACTTCAATTTGCCTTTTCATTGCGACTAGGAGGGTTGGTTAGAGCCATATTATCGTGTTTTCCTTTTCATTGCGACTAGGAGGGCTCGATAGGACATTATCCATCTATTTTCCGCAAATCCATCATCATCATCATCACCTTTGTCATCCACCTTCACAAGGGAGATCTTTTGATTTCTTGATTATCATACTTTTATTTTTAAATTCTTTATGTTGACACTCGATATTTTCGTCCCGTTATTATTAGGTTATTATTATTATTATTATTATTATATTATTATTATTATTATTATTATTATTATTATTATTATTATTATTATTATTATTATTATTATTATTATTATTATTATTATTATTATTATTATTATTTAAGATTACTAACATAATGTTTTTATTTACAGATTCGGCCGAAATACCCCAAACCCAAATTACAATCCAACAAACCTAAGGATGAAAACCCAATACCAACTAGGGTTTTATCATGTAGCTTCAGCCGCCACTTCATCTCAGCCGCACGATCAAGTTGGAGATGGACGGTCTAGATCAACCCTCAGTTAAGATTTCCCCCTTAGATGTTGTCGTCTCCTTGCAAGAGCCGTCCGATCTGGACCCATCCAACGGTCCAGATCGAGCCCAGGCCACCAAATTTGGCACCATCACAATCTTCTCCACCAACTGACAACT